GCTTTGTAACTGGTACTTGTTCGGTGTCTTTGGTTTCAAATTGTAAAAATGCAGTTGCTCTCAATTGTGGTGAATATTAAATAATTTTTACAGTGACAATACTACATCTATTTTTATTAAAATGTTTTGTGTAATACATTTTGTGAAATGCCAAAGGTGCATTAAGGGGTCTGGTAAGAATCAAAAGTATTATTTTAATAATTATACAATTATTATCAAAATTCTAAAAATTTTAAATTTTATTTGGAAAATGCAATAAGTTTACATCAAATCTTGCTAGGTACACTTTATGCCAATTTTGTTCAAGGTTTACCCTCCCATATAACATTTTTTCATTTTTTCCCTGTGTTTCTGTGAGTACTTATTTCAATATTTTAATTTGTTCATAAGTCCAGTGGAGTGCTTAACACACTTTTATATTATACTTTGTTTTTTTAGGTGAAAAGTCTACGTTGACAAGACGAACTGTGACTGCTTCAACTTGCAGTCAATACTATTGTGAGAGCAATTATACCATTATTATTTATGCATATATTTTGATTTTTTAATTTAATTAGCTCAAGCAGCTTCTGGAACTATCATTCTATCTCGTAATAATGTGTCTTCAGCCTCTTATTACTATGGAATAGTGAGGGTGTACTATAATGGTTGGGGGAACATTTGTGATGACAGCTATTATAATTCAGCTGAAGCTAATGTCATTTGTCATCAGTTGGGATACACTGGAGCTTCAAGCTACTCTAGAGCTGGACTGACTAGGTATATGTTCATAAAAGTGTGAGTGATATACTAGTAAATTTTTTGCACTGTAGTTATGGTACAGACTATCTTTCTATGAAATGGGATGATGTTAACTGTGCCAGTAGCAGCTATTTATCTATTGCTCAATGTACCTATTCTACTTACATTGGGTATGGCTGTTATAGTAACAGTTATGATGCTACTGTATACTGCTGTAAGATATTATTTTTGTTAAATTCTATTAATCAGTATTATTACAGATACTACTAGAATCTGGAACAGTAATCCATTCCCTGGTATGGTACGTCTTCAAAATGGAGATTACTCTAATGAAGGACGTGTTGAGGTTTACTGTAATGGACAGTGGGGGACAATATGCAGTGATGGGTTTGACTCTACTGATGCCAACACTCTCTGCAAGCAACTGGGATATGATTTATCCTCGTACTTTCATCTTTCATAGTATGCAATTCCAAATTTGTTGATTAATGATTATTGTATAAAACTATTATATAGTGATTCAAATGACAGTTTGCCTTTTTGGACTTCCAACATGTATAGTACTGGATATGATTTGTGTTTTAAGGAGCACAACAATTGTCCCAACACTTCAGTGACTAGTTGTTCCTACTCCAATAGTATATCAATCCAGTGCAGTAAGGCAGTAATTTTTATATTTACATGTATTATGTGAATTAATTTCTGCTACATGTAGCTGATAATAGATACAGTAGACTTGGTATTAACCAAGATACTTGTGCTAAAATTCCTGGTAAGTCTTCAAAATTACTGATTATAAGTGCTGTACAACAATTTTTTTTGGAAATATAAAATTGTTTTTGCCAGTGAGACAAAAATTTTTGTCAAATGGGCTAATGTTGCCAGGTCTGTCATACAAATCTCAATGAAATTTAATTAAAACAATCCATGATGCATGAATATTTTGTATTATAAGTGATTTAAAGTACTAAACTTATGAAATTTTTAATTTGCTTTGGGTTTCAATTAATGAAATTAAGCTGTAGTGACTAGTGATTAATTGCAACTAGTCATTGTTGTTTTAACTTGAGTAGAATTGTAGCTACATTGTACATGTAGCTTTTTTAACTACAAGTACTGTTTATTGCAATGTACTGTATAGCACAAAGTTTACAAGAGTTGTAAATTTTATCAAAACTCTATTTTGCAAATTTAATTTATGGTGAAGTTCTAGTGTTGTTCTAGTTCTTCTATACTAGAACTAAATAATTATTGTTCTGCTTAGTTCTAGTTCTAAAAACTAGAACTAGAACTAAAATACAATTCCATACTAGAACAACACTATGAAGTTCACTGTTTGGCATATAAAAATTGATTATTTTCTCTGATTTTTTAAAGAATCATAAAATTCAGGAAGTTTACTTTACTGCCCTTATAAATTTTTCCCTATACTGTAAAAATATTTTATATGCATGTAAGTCAAGTCTATTTCTTTTCTCCAAATATTAGTAACTTCACCTACAGTTTTGTTTGTTATCCAAAATTAATGTTTATTACTACACAAATCGTTCCGTACGTGTATGTATACAAATACTACAATACTGAATGTAAAGTAAGAATCAGACAAGCAACTTAACCATGCAAAACACTGCATCAAAAAATATGAATGTTTTATGAACATAAATTGGCATTAAATTTGAAGAGTTTGTTGAAATCAAATTTTATTATATTCTAGCAATTAATCAACAATATTCACATGTAGATGTAAGCCATATTTATGCATTTATTGTATTACTTTAGACTTGCTTCATGCTACAAATGGAACAATCATCCTTTCTCGTAATAACACATCATCAGCCTTTTATTACTATGGAACTGTTAGAGTCTATGATAATGGATGGGGCAATATATGTGATGACTCCTATTTTGATTCAGCTGAAGCTAATGTCATTTGTCATCAGTTGGGATACACTGGAGCTTCAAGCTACTCTAGAGCTGGACTAACTAAGTACATTGAAATAGTTGGTGTCATACTTAAATTGTTCTTTTTACTGTAGTTATGGTACAGACTATCTTCGAATGAAATGGGATGATGTCAACTGTGGTAACAGTGACTATCTTTCTATCTTTCAGTGTTCTCATTCTACTATCATAGACAGTGGTTGTGTCAATAGTAACAGTTACGATGCAACTGTATATTGCTGTAAGATATTTAGGTGTCTTCTACGTTGTGTTTTACTATGCAAACCTATAGATACCACTAGGATTTGGGATAGTAATCCATTCTCTGGTATGATACGTCTTCAAGATGGAGATTATTCTAATGAAGGACGTGTTGAGGTTTATTGTAATGGACAGTGGGGGACAATATGCAGTGATGGGGTG